ATATACTAATACTATATATATTATATATATTATAACATAATATATACTACTATATAATGCACATATTTATATATACTATACATTATATATATCATACATACTATATACTATACTATATAATATAAATATATATACTACAATATAATACATAATATATTATATATATATATATCATATAATAATATAATATATATAATTATATATATATATGTACATATTTAATATATACCATATATATATATACATTATATATATACAATAAGTATATAATATATACTATATACGTATATTATATATAATATCATACATACAATATATATATATATACACACATATAATATATATATATATAAACAAAAATATATAATACATAATATATATATATATATATATATATATACATATATATAATATATATAATACATATATATATATATACATATATATACATATATCTATTATATATATATATATACATATACATACAACAACCATATATACATATATATATATATATATATATATATATATATAAGATACACAACATATATATATATTATATATATATACACAAACAACATATATATATTATATATATATATATACTATATATATATATATATATATATATATTTATACAATACACATATAGTAACATGATATATATATAAATATATATATATATATATAATATATAATATATACATAATACCATATATGTGTGTATACATGTGTGTGTACTATATAATATATATAACTATATATATATATATATATATATATATATATACTATAACATATATACATATATATATATATATATATATATATATATTATAAATATATATATATATATATATATAAGATAGAGAAGAGAGGAGAGAGTGTGTGGTCAAAATTAATTATAATCAGTCATTAATGCTGCATTACACCTTCGGAATCAGAAAATGCATTATATTGGCATATCATGGGCTGGTCCATGTAAAAAAAAAAAAAAAAAAAAAAAAAAAAAAAAAAAAAAAAAAAAAAAAAAAAAAAAAAAAAAAACGACTGTCATATCATGGGATGGGCTGGTCCATGTAAAAAAAAACAAAAAAAAACTGACTGTCATTGAACTAGACATTTGTGTTTATTTAATAATCTGGATTATGAGTATAATAATGTTTGGGTGGGACCTGAATCAGTGAATTTTGCATAAGAAACTCTAACCTTAAATGTTCAGCATGAATTCCTGTTTACAGATTTACTTATAATATTGCTGTAATGTTAAGAGTAGTGATATAGTGTTAGCAGAGGTGTAATGTTGCAATGTTGAGGCTATGGTAGAGTAACTGGAAACAGTGTTGGAGAAGTAATGGATAAGTACTGGTGGAGTGCTGAGGCAATCAAGTGAGGGGAACCCTTAGCAGAGACACATATATTTATATATTGAATTACGAAAAGCTTAGTAACAGGAAATAAAGAAAAAGCAGAGCAAAGACAGAAAATTTTATTTCTAGCAATGACAGCATGAAGATTTCTTGTACGTATCCATTGACACTTTCTTAATTAATGTTAAAAAAACATTTAACACTAAAAAAATACATATGCAAATACTTAGTTACTAGTTATTAGTCACAATATATGAGAAATCCTTCCTTGTCCTAGGAAAAACAATAAAAAATTACATAAGCAGATGCATTTTCATTTTCAATAAAGATAACATAAAACATTAACAAGACTATATAAAAATGAGTCTAGAAGTCATAATCCAAAAACTCTGAAGTAATATCAATCTTTTCCTCTTTAACTTTTATTTCCAAGTCTGGTGCTATTAAATGTGCTGACAGCAACATGTCTGGACTTTGCATAGTGGCCTGTTTATGATCTACACTCCTTGCTGGAGATAAATCTACTTCATGGGTATTTTCTCTCTCTTCCATGGAGCTTTCATTTTCAGTGGCAGTACTTCCACTGTCATCACTGAATTGATATCCATTCTCCTCTTTCAAACCCACGAGTCTGTTCCTTAATTTCAGACACATCTTAGCTCTCATAGTCCATCTTGTCCCCTGCTGCTGGGGTCAAGCCACGAGTCTGTTCCTTAATTTCAGACACATCTTAGCTCTCTTTAAGATGCGGGTCCATCTCCTGGTCCTCTTTGCAATTTCTGGGGTTGACTCTAAATCTTCGACTGGAAACAAGGTGTCATTTAATGGTCTTCTTTTTGACCCACTTGAATTTGTCTGAACTTTCCCTCGTCTTTGTCTTTTCTTTTGGTTTGGGCTGCGAAGCAGCTTTACTGCTGTATTTGCCTTTTTTGGGGATCTTAAACTTTCATTACTTATGGAAGATATTTGATTTGTTCTCACAGAAGGGCTTGATATAATCTTTTGCTTGAAAGAAGACCTTGATACCTTTATCTCATGTGCATCAACTACATCTTTGGGCAGTTTCTCTATCTGTACAAAACATGGCCTGATATCCCACTTAACTATGGCATGGCAAAGGGCCTGAAGTTTATGAACTGTTAATCCCTCCTTTCTATTGGTATTTCTCAGCTCAAAATTTTGAGACAAATTAAGATCTAAAATGTTATTTTTACTTAAAAGTGTAATGCTTCTGGTAACACACACATCTTTCCCCTGAGAAACATTTTTTTCATCTATACTGATTGCTGTGGTACTGACTCTCTTGTTTTTCTTCTTTTCTTCTCTCCTTTTTGCCCGTGCTTGGTCCTGATTAATGACACATTTCCTTTTCCTCTTTTGGTTCAACTTCACAACATGACTGTCATTGTTTGTATCATTAACTGCAGTTTCTGAGTTTTTCTTTAATAATCTTCCTTTTCCTGAAGCTTCAGTGGCAGATTCTGGACTAGAGCTAAGTTTCCTTTTCTTTCTCTGATACTTGCTGGATTTTATTGTTTTTGTCTTTGTTTGTAACCCACAAGCAGAGACTAGACATGCTGTCTGATTTTCAGTTGTATTTGTAGATTCATTAACATGCTTTCTTTTTAGTCCTCCACTGCTCACCTCATGCGAGTCTCCATCAACTTCAAACATACTCCTTTCATTCTCATTAAATTCTGATACTAATGCTTCTGACTGATTTTGACTTTCTACCAGAATGTTCTTGCTGGTATCATCATGCCCTATGTTACTATCACTTTCTTTGTCAAATGGATAATCATGATTAACAACTTCATTCCTTTCATCCAGCTCATGAGATTTGGTTTTAGGAACAGAAGCATTAATTGCTGACAATTGCTTAACAATGATAACTGGCATCCGTACCATAGCACTTTTCAAACCAACTGCACTTTTGCTCTCTGGTTTGTATTTACTTTGGTTACAAGTAGATGAATCAACCACTTCACTATCAAAACTTGTATGACATTGTACGCCTACATCAGCAGAATGCAGTGGAACTTCTGTAACAGATGACCTTTTATCCTTGTACTGATGAATGTTGTCAGTTTCTCTCACTGCCTCAGATGCCACATAGTGTTCAGCTCTAATGACAGAGTCATCTGAACTGTTTCTGACAATATTTTCTAAATTGCCATGTGATATTCTCTGGCACTCCTTACTAATGAAATTACCAGGTGTACAATTTCCATTATTTACAGAGTCTCTGTTATTTCCATTTTCTATGCTTCCTTCACTTCTACTACCTATTTCTTCAATATCTTCTATAACTATGCTTACTATCATATCTGAGTGCCCTTCATGCTTACTTCCATGCCCCTGTCTAGATTTTAAATCATTTCTACATGTATTACCTTCATCTTTATCTTCTCCATTGTTACTTCTATCCTGCTCTGCAATTGCTTTGTTCTTTTCTAGCAACTGCTTCCTGCGTTCATCTTCAAACAATAAAGGTTCTTCAGTAATATTTTTCTTGATATTCTGAGCCAGTTCCTCAGAACCATGAAATGATATACTTTTACAATCATCATCATCATCATCATCATCTTCACATTTCTTTATACCTGGACAGAATACAAAATGTGCCTCTAAATCATCTGTTTTGCTGAAATGTGCCCCACAACCATGGCAATACCGGTAATTTGAGGGACTCTGGAGGGACTCTGAAGATGAATGTCCATGTGTGTGTTGAGCATCTTTTTGTACCCAAAAACAGCTGGACATCTCTTACAGTTGTACTTTATCACTCCTGTGTGGCGCCCCATGTGTGATCGCAGTTTGTGCTTGAACTTGAATTTCAAGTGGCACACGTTACATTCAAAGGGCTCACTGTGTGATTCCATGTGTACTTTGAGATTCCATTTCTTCTTAAAGCTGGAACCACATTTTTCACATATATAAGGCCTTGAGCTCTGAGGTGAATTCATTCCCAACTAAAAAATATTACCCTACATATATATCTAAAAATATATATAAAAACTAACATTCCCACCCCATTTTATAGGCTACTTGTCTGGTATTCCATCAAGCAGTTCAGGTGGATTCTTGAAAAAAGCCATGACATCATCCCTTGGGAATCTCTGAGTCACTATGCTTCTAAGGACAGCTCGTCACATCTACAAGAGAAGAGAAAAATCATATATATAAACAAACTTTGAAGCATATAAATTTTTTTATTTCAATAGCAGAAAATGCCTGATCCACTTAACCATGTAATGTTGAATAATACAAATTAGCAGATAAAATTAACTGATCCATTAACAAATATTCTTGGCACAGGATCATGATAGCGTTAATCAACATTCATACCTAGAAATAGTATGCATGATACATTTGTATATTAATTAACACGGCTGAACAGGAAAA